GTTCGGGTCAGTCTGGTTTCTTGGGTAACTCAAAATAAATGGTTGGTGGTAAAAATTACACCCCTTGACAAAAATATGACATGCATGTTACAATTAAACATTCTTCAATTATCATCAAACTACCTGCTGACTATGCATCATGTGTTCTCCCATTGTAGTTGTTACATTTTGTGTCCCCTCAATTGTTGCAAAGAAGAAGAACATTTTCAGATTAGCTCCACAATTGTGCTAGCTTGCATTTCGCATTGGGTTCAAGATCATGATTTTCAGTTCAATAAACTATGAGAACATAGATGTTGTTAATATTACCTTTTGTAATCAAGCTTGTCTTGTTGGGCTGCTTGCAACATTAACATAGCTTGCCTAAGTGCTTCTCTATCGCCCTCCCTTTCCTTGTTCATCTGCTCAAGTCGACGCCTATGTTCTTGCCTCTCGGCTTCCCTTTCAACTTCTTGAGCTTCTAGTCTATCTTGCACCAGTCCAAACGATTCAATGAGGGCTTCCTCCTGTTGCGCTTTCTACCGGTAGTCCTCCGATAGTAGCTCCTTTCTAGTTGGGTACCTTGCAAGGTAACCATTAGCATGCATCTTGTTTGATTTGATTTTTCTCTCGCTTCCTTGTAGGTTGATTGGAAAATCTGGTTCTCGCTCCAAGTCTCGAGACGACATTTGCGCGGGTGCCTTGACTCCACTCCATAATCTTCCCCGGTTGCATTGTCCTAACAAAGCAAAGACATTTAGTTAATTAAAACTTTAATTCTAAGCGAGGACAGCTTGCATCACTTAATAAGGAAATGTAAGGACAAATGAGAATGCCCGCCTTGACATGGAACATCTTGGGATCGAGCAAGATCAAAGATCCTGTGATTGATGATGACACGCACACCTTGCCAAAGCCAGCGTTGTACTCTCTAGACAAGGATGACAAGAGGATTTTATGCCAATTTCTTCAAGGAGTGAAGATGCCTGATGGGTTCTGCTCCAATTTAAAGAGATGTGTTGACGATAAAACATGTAAGGTGTCTGGACTCAAAACTCATGACTACCATATTATTCTACAAAAACTATTGCCCTTAGTCATTAGAAGGATTTTGCCATAAGATGTTGCCGTGCCATTGATTGAGCTCAAAGAGGTTCTTCAAATAAGCACTTTGTTCAAATGAGTTGGTGCCAGCAGATCTTGACAAACTAGACAGTTCAATTAAAGAGACTCTTTGTTAGCTTGAGATGGTTTTCCCGCCTGCATTTTTTGACATAATGATTCATTTACCGGTCCATCTAGTTGAAGAGGCTAAACTAGGAGGGCCCGTGTGTTACAGATGGATGTATCCAATAGAGAGGTATCTACGTACTGCTAAAGGATATGACAGGAACAAGGCACAACCAGAAGGATCAATAGCCGAGGCATACATAGCTGAGGAGTGTCTTACATTTTGCTCTCGATTCTTCGACGTCGACACCAAGCTGAGTCGAGCTGATCGTCATGAAAATACAGTTGTGAATGAGCCTCCAAGTGGTCTAAGCATATTTAGTGAAATTGATTACAAGAGGAGAGGAAATAAGCTTAAGAATTTGGAGAAAGTTGAACTTCAAAAGATGAGGCACTACATAATTACTAATTGTGAAGAAGCCAGGAAATGGGTAGAGTAAGTCGCAATTTTTACCACTAAATTTATCTTTTATCTGCTTGTTTGTGGCATCAACTAATAATTTGGTGCACTCTGATGTAGGGAGCATAAGACACAACTAACAAGGGATAGTTCAATTAACATTAAAAAACGACACAAGGAGCATTTTGTAAGATGGTTTGAAATCGAGGTATGTAGTATTATTTTATATTTTTAAATTCAACTTTATGGTCGAATCGATAGTAGTAATTAACCGTAGATGTCTAACTTGATTTTTAAATTGCGATAGCAAAACTATATGAGAAAGGGGAAGCAAGTAAACTGATGCATGCCCTTTCTCAAGGACCTGACCCTCGAGCTCGTGTGTTGAATAGAGTGCACATCAATAATTGGCTATTTCGGACAACCGCATATAGAGAAAAGTCTCATGACACAAAATTCTCGTGTCCTTGTGAAGGGTGACGATAGTACAGCAACATGACCTGGTATGGAGTCATTAGAAATATAATCTCACCGGAATTCCCACAAGAAAAAGAAGTTATATTATTTCAGCAGATTGGTATGATGTGCTTGGCTACCAAGATTAAATGAGCAGGCGTAGGGTACACTAGGGATAAATTTGGTATTATCGACATTGCTACTTCCATGTTCGGATATTCAGATGAACCTTACATTCTTGCTTCAAACGCTTGAACCGGTGTTTTATGTCCCTATCGTGAACAAGCCGAGATGGTCTCATCGTTGTTTTGGTGAGACCAAGAAATTTGTTTTCCATGCCGCATACGTGAAATGACGCCGATGCACTTGATGTGGGAATCCAAGAAATGAATGAATCAAAGCCAAGGTCGAATTCTTAAACCGGTCAAGACAAGATAGGGCGGTACAACCGGTTCTCGCCGCCATTATTAATCAAGTGCGTGGCGAAGCAATTCCCTAACCTCGTTGATGACTATATTGGTGATGATGATTCCGACGACGATGACACCTACATTGATGATGGGGTTATTGCACCACCATGGAAGAAAATATAGAAGATGATTTCTTTGCTTGAAGACAATTTTTTTGTTGCACCGCTGTTTGGTGGGAAGGGTCACTTGTCCTTCATATGCATATGTCGCACTTTATTATTTTTTTTTTTTGAACCGATGACATGGTTAAGTTTGAACCGCTGCATGGAACCTTAATGTTCGTTATGCTAATGAATACCTCTTGAGATAAATGTTTTAAGTATTTGAAATAAAGAGGTAAGTGGAAAGTTTTGAAATAAAAATCACGATTGCCCAAGAGTAATCACCGGTCGACAAATGTTTGGACAAGGAAAGGTTCATTAGCGTGGTCACCATGTGACCGATGGTGCACGGTCAGGCATTTACTATCGCTAACAAAGTGACCAACCACCCCGGTACAACTTGAAGTACTAATTAACATCCACGCATACTTAACATCAAGTACTTAACAACAACTACTACTTAATGAAAGTTTCGGACACCGTGCATAAGGACGGAGATGCCGAGATGGGGCTGTGGTTGGGGCGTTTATAACTCATAAGGTCTTCAATCATATCAAATAAATTAAAACCTGAGTTACAACGAACACACCTACATAGCGCAGTTGGTGGAGAAGGTTTTATCTGAACCAGAGCTCCATGGTTCGAATCCTGTGGGGAGCACTTTTTAATTTTAATATATGCGTCCCCAATTCTTTTCTTTCCATACTTTTTTTAAGTTTTAAATTCGTTGCAATTATCAAAGTATATTGCAACCAAAAATAAGCGTTGCACTTGAACACAATTTTCGCTTCGACCCCATAGATTTCGTTGCAATAAAATTCAGCACTTGCAACAATATCAAAGTATATTGCAACTGCCAAAAAAGGTTGCAATTGACCCCCACTTTTGCTTCGCCTCCAAGAGTTCTCGTTGCATTAAGTATCTAGCATTTGCAACGCTTGTCAAATTTTATGCAACACAAAAAAACCGTAGCAATAGTCAAAACCAAATGCAACTAACGTAAATGTAGTTGCAGTACTACCACACAATTGCAACCAAAATCAAGTCTACTGCAACCATTTTTCACCATTGCAATATCGTCCACCAAATGCAACAGAGCTTTGCAACATCTTGAAAACCGTTGTATTAAAGGCATGTATCGCTACCATTTTTTAGAATGGTTGTAATACAACAATCTCTGGCAACCAAATTTTCTATGTTGCAATTCTTCGGCGTTGCAGTAGACCGAAAATCTTGTAGTGCAGTAGATAAGACAGGAGGAGGGTAAGGTCCAAGCCCGGTGTTGCTGAAGTCATGCCCTAGAACTTATTATAGATTATCTCGCTCTAAGCGTGCTCATGAAAAGTTAGCTAGTTTGCTAATGAAAGGTTTTGGAGCTTACTAGGATCTCTTTGAATTGCACCTGCTATGTCAAACGGCGGTTGATTATTCCCTTTCTAGAATGTGCACTAGCCACTAGCCATTCATAATTGATTGCTTGCTGTGACGTGAACTCACGTAGCTGTTCTGATCCTGATTCAGGTTTGTGTAATCATGACGATATGGTTCCTAATGTAATTGGTGCCCTGTATTCAGACAGTTTTGCCTTGAACTCGATCAGATGCTAAAATGGCGTCCTGGAGACCCGGCCTAACTTAAATGGGCCATAATGCTCAGCGTCAGCGGCACAATTCTATACCACCAATGGGCCATATGGACCCAAAATTTGCTCCCGACTTAGAATTAACCATCACTCGCTTGTCAACGTGTGATCCTGTATACCCGTGGGCTATAATCTTATCGCACACTCCCTTCGTAAAAAAAAAAAAAATCTAGCTTTCTACCAAATTATTTATCTTAACTTTAATCAAATATATAAATATATATTGTTTATGATGCTAAATAATTGTCAATAGATTCACCATGAAATATATATTCTTATAGCATACATATTTAGAGTCATAAATGTTAATAATAACTTTTATGTTTGGTCAAACTTAAGAAAAATTGACTCGATCCAAACCCAGTTATAAATGTTAACAATATTTTTTTTATAAATTATGTCATTTAATGAAATTTGTCTCGATCCAAACCCAAAATTACATCTTTTTAGGACAGAGGTACTAAGTATTAGAATTTTGTATAATCTTATATCATTTGTGATCGGACAATCCTGGCACAAGGTTGCGACGGGCCCAACCACCACGCCAACCGTAGCTGGCGGCGCCGCCACCCCCGCCGGCGCCGGCGGCCTTCCCGGCACCCGCCTCCCCCTACCCCTCCCATCCTTCACCCCTCCTCCCCCACACCTGAGAGCCACCATCTCCAGGCAATGCTCCCCATCCTTGACAGCGATGGCATCGGCGCGGGCCGCCCCGGGCCACGATGGCTGCGGCCGTAGCCACGGAGGCCGTCTCCGCCCTTCCCTCCCCTCTTTCCCCCAGCGCGCTCCCTCTCCTCTGCCGCTGGGGCCTAGCGCCGCCGCCACCGGCCTCCCAGCTCGCGGAAGCCGGTGATGGGGTGCTACCTCCACCGCAGACCAAGGAGGTAGCTGCTTCCCGTGCAGGTGGGCCCCGGGTGGCCAGATCCGTGGCCGACGGCAGTGATGAAGCCGCCGCGCGGCAGCAGCCGACCTAGCCAGAGGAGAAGGTCTCGGCAGAAGTCGGTCCAGCGCGGCTAGCTGCCTGGGCGGCTCCGCTTTGAGCTCGTCGCCGCGGCCGCTTGAGCCGGGCACCGCGGTCGCCGGGGTTGGTGCGCCAGATGCGCAGCCACCGCCACCCACGTCACCAGTGCAGCGATTGGGCCTACTGTTGTGCTCGCCCAGCCGGTGGGCATAGGGCCCCATGCCACGGGGGCCGGGGCAGCGGCGCTCAGCCTGGAGGCAGCCACCGGGTGTGGCTCCGTTGCAGCGTCGTCGTCCTCCCTCTTCCCCTTCGCCACCCCCTTCGATCCAGTTGGCAGCACAGCGGGGCACTCCAAGAGCCGGCGGTGGGCGGACGACGATGGCGAGGAGACCGATGATGACCACCCCGCGACCTACTTGGAGGCCGCTCGTCGCCCGACAAAGCCGCCCACTGTGTCCCCCGTGCGCGCCCAGACCTGTTCGGTCGTGGTTCTTGGGTGCGGCGGAGCGGACGCTGGACAAGGATCCGTGTGAAAGCGGAGGAAGCGTAGCCGGCCACGCCCCAAGCTGGTGCACGACTTGCCTGCTCATCCAGTGGACGGTCGGGTCCCTGCCCGCCAACGCTCGGCGCCTGCAGACGGGGCTCTGCCCCCAACGCCGATGGGTGGCGGGAGATCCTACCCCGACAAGAGGCGGCACCTGCGGCTGCCTCAGTTGAGCTGTCCGCGGCCCAGGTCCATGCGCACAGGCTCGGAAGATCCCAGCACAGCTCCGCAACATATGTCTCAACTGCCTCTCCAACTCGCACCGAGTAGCGACTTGCTGGTTGCCAAGCCATTGCCTGCGCTGCCGCGAATTCCGCCACCTCGCGAGGGACTGCAAGCGGTCCATGTCGGCGCTGAAGGGTGGTGGCCTGCCTCGCCACTCAGCTCGTGCTGACAACCCACTGGCCTCCCAGAACGCCCCCTCGGCAGCCCACCGACCTCTGACAGGATCGCACAGGTAGGCGTGGGGGGTGTCGACGGCAACCGTCGACGCCGGAGACGACGTCGGCGGCGCAGGGGCGAGCTAGCAACGGACATCCACATGGGCGCGCCTGACGACACCAACGACGCCTCTCCTTCGACTGCCACATGCCGCTTCCTCGAGCCAGATCCGCTGGCAGAGACGTTGTGCGTGGGCGCAGTCCCTCCCACTTGGCTCGTCTCGGTCAACCCGATGCTGGACGAGCTTGCTGCCTTGCTCATCGCGAGCCGGCCAGCGGTCACTCCAGCGACTGGGTGCCTGCATGCTGCGGCATCCGTCGTTGGTGGGCACCGGTTCTCCGGTGATGGCTACTCAGTGCGCGACGGACCTGCCATAACATGTAATTCGGTCAGCATATCTATCCACTAGTCTCATACTTTGGCACTCCGTAATTTTTAGTTATGGAGCATTTTGCCATACAGAATTTCGCCACCTGCACTATATATTTCAGTCTCAATGTAGTGCTCAGTTTCAGCAAGTCAATGATGCAGTTCCATCATGTAAGTTACCCATGTCGTATTGCCGACTGATGGCAACTCATTTGAAATTAGTATCAGGGAGCGCACATCCATATTAGAGAGCACTGGATATTCAGAGAGCATAGATATCTGCAAGAAGACGGGATCGATTCGATATCTAGTAACATTCAGTTCAGATCAATTACAGTCTAGAAGAGAGCATACATACATGCCAGCGGCTGCAAACCCACCACCAGTCTCAGATCTCATAATTACATTTTGGAGTAACATTTAGTTCGCAACAATTACAGTTTGGACTTAAACATTCAGACATTGAGGATACCATGGAGTAGTCTGCACCAAAGCGCTACTCTGCCGAATGCTCTGCTCTGTACTTGTCTGCACCAGCACCAAGGCGCTGATCTGCCGGTTGCTGAGCTAGCGCCGACCTCGCCGCTCCTGCGGTCTCCATGCCTCCGTTCCTGAATGTTTATATACATATATCGTATCAAGAACATCATATTTAAGCAGTGTTTACAATTCACTGGCTGACTCATTGTACTATTGTAGGAATGGTATGGAGGACTCGGGCAAGAAGAAGGTCTGCTGTACGAATTGCATGTAATGGAGCATTATCAGTCACGTTAGGTGATCTCAAATATTTATCTCAAAAAGTTTCAACCACTGTACTTTTTGAAACATCAACCACTGTCTACTGACAAACCTTCTCAGACTCTCTGTAGTAGTACTAGGAATCCAATATAAACGTACTCGTCAATACTCAATAGCATCTGCCGGAACTCCATAATTTAGCATATAGAATGCATGCCACAGCGACTTTCTTAAAGCAATTTAATCAAAGTGAATAACCAGTATTTCTTTTCTGCACAAAGTGACTATCATTATCTTCGACAGCATTCATAATGTGTAAAAACTAGATTATACCCCGCGTGTCGCTGTAGAGATTGTGAAAAAATTAAAATGAAATTAAGTGAAGATGATATGGATACTTGCAATTAAGAGGATGAAAGTTAGTGGGATGACATGACTATTAATGGGAGATGATGTGGATAGTCACTGGGGGATGGCATGGATGGTTTGCATGTTGAGATAAACTTGTACGTAGTTCCGATTAGCTTTATAAATGATATAGATAGAGCTTGAGTCATTCTAATCCTACGCAGATAAAGAATAATCAGAATTCCAGTATAATGTATATAGGATTGACTAAACCAAACAAAACATATATGTACAAACCCGCATCCAAAATTAGTAGGCAGGTAGGATCATCAGCCAAGTAATCCTGATACATTCCTGACTTCCCACCTTCTCTATCTTTATGAAGTACTACATATCCTGGAACAGAGTCGTCATGTTTTTTTTTTTGACATTGTAAAAAAGTTTGCACTATTTGAGCAGCACAATAAATGAATTTGTCATCATCGTCGGATGACGAATTATCCAATTACCTTTTGGAAAAACGAAGGATTATGACTCATACCGTCATCCACACCATCTAATGCCCTAGTCATGCCCTAGCCGCCCTTGCTCAACCATGGCAACCCTCTCGCCAACCCTAGCCACTCATGGCCAAGCTTGGGCACCCCTAGCCGGCTGGTGGTGGCTGGTCATCCATCCAGTGCGGTTTTGACTGATTATTCTAGGTGGTATCACCGGTTTTGGTCTTGGAAGGAGGTTTTTTTTTTCACTTTCCCTAAACCTGAAATCTGTCTTTTGTTCAGGTGACGACGTGGTCCTTTTGTCTTGCTTCAAGATTTGTGCATCTTTGGCTCACAGCCGTTGTCTAAACAAATGTTGAAAAATAGCAAATCCCATATTTTTCTAAGACTTTTTTCCGACCACAAAACCAGGCTTTTTGGATTTTTTAGTCAAAATGTTGAAGTTCCTCTCATGGCAAACATCATCCCCTGCTTTAAGCTAGCATAGTTGGACATGGCCTTTGCTCAACCATGGCAAAAATTATCCAAGTACCCAATTGTGACTCATACCGCCATCCACACCATCTAGATGCCCTAGTCATGTCCTAGCTGCCCTTGCTCAACCATGGCAACGTAATCCTCCCGTCAACCCTAGACACTCATGGCCAAGCTTGGACCACCACCCTTAGCCGGCTCGTGGTGGTATATCACCGGTTTTGGCTCCAAAAATAGGGCACTCTTGGATGGACGCACTTTTTCTAAGACCTTTTTCCTACCTCAAAACCAGGCTTTTTGGGGATTTTAGTCAAATGCTGAAGTTGCTCTAATAATAATGGAAAACATCATCTCCCTGCTTTAAGCTAGCTTAGCTGGACATGGCATACTTAGCTAGCTAATCAACCATCAGGGTCGTACGTGGAGTGCCACCATCACTCCCTATCCTATCCTACATATGATCTCTTCCTTTGACCTACTGTACCACATCCTGTGGCCTCTTCTGGGTGTTGTGGGACACGAATCATGCTCACATAGTAGACATTTGAAAGGTCCTAATGGCTAGAGGGGGGGTGAATAGCCTATTAAAAATTTCTACAACAACACTAAAGCAAGTGATTAGTCAAAAAGATTGACTCATATTGTACTCACTAAGCATAGACCTTGCCATATTAATGAGTGTTCTATTCTTCCTCTCAACAAGGCCATTTGATTGTGGAGTGTACTTGACCGAGAATTGATGTCTAATTCTAAATTCATAACATAATTCATCAATTCTAGTATTCTTAAACTTACTACCATTGTCATTTCTAACTCTTTTGATGGTTGTTTCAAACTCATTGTGTATGCCATTGACAAATGATTTGAAAGTTGCAAACACATCACTCTTGTCCACTAGAAAGAATACCCAAGTGTATCTAGTGTAGTCATCCACTATCATAAATCCATATTTGTTTCCACCGATGCTAGTATATTGTGTTGGCCCAAACAAATCTATGTGCAATAACTCAAATGCTTTACTAGTGCTCATCATGCTCTTCTTAGGATGGGTGTTTCCAACTTGTTTGCCGGCTTGACAAGAGCTACAAAGTTTATCCTTCTCAAACACAACATCTTTCAAGTCTCTAACCAAGTCATGCTTAACTAATCTATTCAATTGTTTTATTCCAACAAGACCAAACCTTCTATGCCATAACCAACCCATACTATATTTAGTGAACAAGCATATTGACAGTTGAGCTTCATTAGCATTGAAATCAAACAAGTATAGATTCTCATATCTAAAGCCTTTGAAGATCAAATTAGAGCCATCTACACTTATGATTTCTACATCATATACCCTAAATATGTATTTGAATCCAAGATCACACAATTGAGCCACGAATAGCAAATTGAGGTTCAATCTCTCTACTAGCAAGACATTGGAAATGCTCATGTCATTGGATATTACAATCTTACCAAGCCCTTTGACCTTGCCTTAGCCATTGTCACCAAATGTGATACTATCATAACCATCATTGCTATTGGTATTGATTGAGTTGAACATTCTTGCATCATCGGTCATGTGTTGAGTGCACTCACTATTAAGAACCCAAT